CTAGGCGTGTGATGAACGTGTATTTTTAGAGCCATTTCATTGTCTACCAAGTCTTAGCGGTTGAATTTGTAAGCAGGTTAACAATCTCTTAAATGGATCACTACGGAAAGTAAAACTCCAGAATTCTGTAATACGTAACCATCCACAGTCCATCTACCTAATACATTGCGTCCCCCACGGAAAGCTTTGGTGACAGAACGACAGAAATATACAGAAACGCATTATTGTAAAGTAATATTTCTATCAGATTCTATATTCATAATATGTTATAAATATTTTTAAAAGTCTTCCGAACGTTAGTTTACTACTACAGTCTGTTTGACAAACTTGACCAACGTCCGATTCATTTCGCGTTCGATTTTTCGAACCTTCTATTCGAGTCTGAACTGTCGCAACTTGCTTTATGTTTATCCTTCGATTATCGCCCGCTTGTTTTTTGCATGTATTAGCTTACTTTAATAAAATTATTTACTATTTCCTGTTTTTGTTTGCTAGCTTTTTATAGTTACTCTCCTGCCCAACCCGTATAACCCCTATTACTACCGGTACCGTATCAGAGAATTCTGTAGCTTTTGCCTTCCTTGATAATTCCATATATTAGTTTATTGCCTACAAATAGTTCTTCCTATTCTATTTTTGTTGTTGAGAGTGCAGTATAGTATTCCGAATCCTATTCTCTGTTCTGTATGTTTTTGGCCCAGCAACACTTAACATTTTATCATTATTTCTAAGCATAAAAGATGAAATCGCAATTTTATAAAAAGCGAGCCCTTTCGACAGCTGTATCTTTGCGTTTTTTGTGCTAAAGCTGTCAAAACTGTTCGTCATATTTCTAATGAGCATAGAGAGAACTCCTCCTGTTGAAGACATGCCCAGTATTGGTTGTGCAAAGATGAAAATGACACTCTCGAAAGCAAAGCAAACCGGAGTAACTTCGTTGAAAACCGTTTGAATGCTCTGTTAAAAAAAACTATCAGCAAATTAGCGTATGCTTTAGCGACAAAAACGCGCTCGCTTTGCCAGACATCTGACACAATTTGCAATTGGGGAGCAAACGTAAAAAAACTATTTACGTGGGTACCACCTCCTTCTTCGGAAAACAATACACACTGGTGCTTTGCATTCAGTGTCTAGTTCCTTGAGTGATAATGAGACAACTACGGATACAAACAGAATGCGTCTTTTAACAAATGCTCACTGACAATGGAAAACAGGACGCCAGCGTCAATATGCAACAAAGAAGAAGCAGGACGAACCACGACGAGCAGATAACAAAAAGGTGTCAAATTCTGGCCTTTATTAAAATTTAATGCTGACAGAAATCACTTCAACTGGCCACGCAGTGCAGTCAAAATGCATTCAAGTAATATGCAACAATTGCCGCAACAAGGCACATTGTTTGGAGTTATTGATTGCCGTTTTTTGTACACGACATTCATGCACGTAAGAGAAGGGTTCATTTTGTACAAAACGTTGCAGCTATAATGTGTTTATGGTAGTTTGGCAAATGATGGAAAATATGAAGGAATGGGCTGATGGACGTCTAGCCATATTCAAACAAGAGAGCGGAATCAAGGGTCTGAGGCAAAGCGTTACATTATTGAGACTAAACGCAAATCCTCCCAACTGCTAATGTTTTCCTGCCTCTTATGACCTCAGAAATATATATGTATATATTGATTACTGGCCCTCCTCCTCCTCCCCTTCTTGGCACGATTGGACCCCTCTGGACCCAGCACCCTTATTTATTGGTTTTTTAATAGTCCATCTTCAGAAATAAGCGAAATTGTTTCCGGCTTCTACGGTAGTCAGGCCGCAAAAGTTTTTTTAAGTTTACGATGTGAAGGCTCGCTGTAAGTAAACGGTTTTCCACGTTTTAGCTATTATATTAATGACGCCTAAAAAAGCTGTCGAAATTAAACATTCGAACACTATTTAGGCGAAATATGAGACTTTTGAAGCTAACAGGCTGCTCTAGGGAAACCGAAAAGGTTCTTTATAAAGATGTTTACTATCTCCTCCGCGTTTTGATAAACATTTGCAGGTACTTTCGCAAACGCAGGTTACAAACAAACCCGCGAAAAGACATTTTATTCCTTAAGCATTTCTATAGAGACGTGACGCGGATTAAGAGAAGGGGAAGAGAGGCGAAATTAAGACTATGCGAAGAGTACGGTAGGGACCAGATATCCTATTGTTTCTCATCGAGATTTCTATGTGCTAGACACGCGTGAAAAATGAACTGAAGAAGCAACTTATACTGCTGTTCCTACCAATCTGATCATCAGCATTCACGCCTAATTAAGACATTACGAACTGATATCTTCAACTCATGAGACGACAGGATTTTGCGTCTTTAGTCTAAGAACCCACTATCGGTCTCGAGGTAGGAGACGAGAGGACACTCAGGGCATGGTTGCATTTGCTGCTTGATGTCAAAAAAAGAAGCGCGCAATAAATTTTCCCAACCGTAATACGGCTATTTTTATGCGTTGACTGCTCGCCAGCAGTCCCCACGCCCTTCCGCCCTGATCGTCGTATTAGCATTGCCGCGACTGCTGGCACAGAAAGACATCTTTATTAGTGCGCTATAGTTGGACCCCTCAGACAACTGTCATCCGTGACAATCATTTTCAAGGTCATTAGCCCGGCTGCTGTTGCCATGTCACATCCCCCTCACTCCTCGCTGCTGGCAGCACTCCTGATTGGCATTCAAGCGGTTGACAAACGGACTCAGTGGGTAAGTGCCCCAGGGACCAGCCCGAAAAAGGCCTCGTTAATGGCACAAGAAAAGTTTGTGAATAAAATACCCCATGGGAAGCTAATTTTGACAAAGGACACGTTTTTCCCTCCAGAGTCACACGACGTGGGCAGACAATCAAACATTTTTGGATGTCCAAACTATCGCCTGATTGTAGTTTGCACTTGAAGACGATTTCCACCCATAGGTTCTCCAATAATCTGCGCAGACGACCATTGCATTATCTGAAACGGCACTGACATCAATTTTTAAACGAAACAGATAGAATAAGACTGCGACAATGCATTGACTGGCATAAATTATCTGACTGAAGCTGCAAGGAGTAAATCGAAGCTGATCCACTACTTCCTGAAACAGCGCTCAAGTGGCATTCACTATTTTTTCTGCTCTCAATTAGCATGTAAATTCCTTATATGTATGTTGGTTAAACTATTGTGTCCATTATAAATTGATTTTTACCCCTCTTTATCTATTCGAACTACAACAATGGGAGCATTAGCACACGATCCTAGCTCCGTTCTGAAAGAGTCCAATTTGGTTCAGATTTTGTAACTAATTCAAGGCCGATTCGTCAGCATGTTGACAATTGCAGTGTTCGGCCATTGTGCATATCCGGCAAACTCCCGGCGCTATATGGCTTGTTTGTCTAATTTTATTCACAGAGAATGGAAAACTTTTATGCTGAAAATTTTTGAATCATATTTTTACACTAAAGCTTATCTCTCTCTCCCTTTCTTTCGGTACCAGGGAGCACATCGCGAACCCCGTAGGAAATAGTAACGAGGCGAATTTGCAGGAGGGATTCGCTTAGGGACAGAAATGCGTGGCGAGCTTTGGTTTACGGGGAAAATTGTCCGTTAATGTTCAACGTTTTCAACAAAAGAAGTCCTCCCGCATTTATTTTGCGGTTTTTCTGGAGCTGTGCATGCCGACACGCGAGTTTGATTGCCCCCATCAAATTCTCCAGATTGGACTCATACCGTGATTGGCTATTTACGGACCGTCCGCTCCTGGGGCACAGGCCGCTCCAACTCCCCCTCCCCCCCCGTCGC